AAATGGTCATTTTCATTATTCAGTACAGCAATTTAGAGGTTCCAACCAAACAGCTTGTTAAAAATTCAGATCCTCTTAGAAATTCAGACCTCTTAAAGTTTCAGATCTTAAAAATTCAGATCCTGCCAAACAGCCCCTAAGCAATATACAAAATAATATGCACTAATAATTTCAACTTTGAAAAGCATATTATCGAAGATTTTAAGGAGGGTTTAAAAATTAAAGTGATCAAGGATATATAGGTATTGTTCTCATGTTGTGTTACATTGTTTGATCAAAAGAACTCGTCGCCTCCTTCCTATCCAACTTGAGGTCCATAAAGGGTCACCTGACACCATTCTATACCCTGCATTTGTGTACAATTTACGAGCACCCCAATCATCTTCATAAGCTCTCAACACCAGATACTTGTATCCCCAAATATTAGCCAACGTTTCGCATGCCTTGAGCAATATACTTGCAACTTTTTTGCGTCTATCAATAATCCAAGTCTTGTAAAATATTTGTGAATATGCATTGGTGAAATGTAAGGTACATCTAGTGAACATGTTTTGGTGTATGAAAATGATGAGTTATTTACTAAAATGATCATAATTGGTGTGAAATATACTCACCTGACCATACTTTTGTATTATATTACATAATGACCACCTAAATAGCTAAAAACATCCCATGAGTTCACAAGGGTAATTACTTTTTGACAAAGAAAAACATTTTATGCTAAAAATTATCGCTAGTTTTAGCTGTGAATTAGCAAATAAACTCAATTTGGCGAATATTTCGCGTGTAAACTCAAAAACTCGAATTTTTTAAACTTCACGAAGCTAAATATTTCTAACGAACAACAACAAAAGAAAATGTGGTTGAAACGGGTATGATGTAAGATCTCAACAAAGACAATTAAATGTTATTTTTTTGATCAGCTTCCATGTTTAAAAGTACTTTTAATGGAATTTTAATCAGCAACTTAAATTTTGGAAACGGGAAAGTATGCACATTAGTCATTTTGACTAGACCTTATATTTGCTTAAGTTTTTCATAAATATTTATTCGCACCTTTTTTTTTACTTGGGGAGTATTTGTGAATTTGATTATATTCGCTACTTTGCGGCTAAAGTTAGCGAAGTTTTGTTTTGTGTTAGAAAAAAAATTAAGTTTGCGAATTTTACGGGGATTTTTAGCGATTTAGATGGTTATTTTGTGATTTAAAAAAAAAAAAAAGATGATCACGTAAGTATATATCATATCAAACAATATACGATCATTTTAGTAAATAGCTCTAAAATGATACATTAAATCAATTATATTTGTGATAAAGTATGCACTAGAGATTATTGCATACCTGAAATCACGTAACACTGCTATTCCTGACACGTAAAGATATTCATCTGCCCCGGATAGATACCCAAGAACTGATTCATCCCTGAAAACCGTTACATCCACGACTCCTACTAATTGTTGTCTATCCTCAATTTCACTTGTGATCGTTTCAGCAACCAAACATGCGTATCTAACATCAAAATTCGATTGAAATTGATGAAATATGATTAGTGAATCGGATAAAATTTCATTTTAGACTTTTAAGGGTTAAATTAGTTCATTGTCACTTCAAACTCATAATCATTTGAGCATGTAAAATGGACATGTTGGTGAATCTTAAACAAATATATATAAATATAAACGTGAAAGAAAACTCACCTATCAGGTGGTGAATTTTTTAATCTGTAAAGTAGTCCTGCAAGAACCTCCGCCTGAATTTTGGTACAATATTAATAATGTTCAAATTTTGTTTTGTTCGAATACAAATCAGATTATGATATCGATTCTGTTTTTCCGTTTGAAACCAACGAACCCAAAAACCTAATGACCCGGAACAACGTACAACATGTATTACATAAAGTATAAGTCTTTAAAGCATACCTGAAAGAACTGGAAGAACACGTCATTAAATAAAATAACTGGTTCATAAAAAGCCTCAGCTTGAATATTGGCCACACTCCTCATTTCATGATCCTCTTCAACCATCTTCCTCACTTTCCATCCATACCCTTGTACTAAATTACCAAAATGACCCTTCCCACCACCATCGCCACCATCAGCCACCTGTTCTTGAAGTTGCTGACTAGAAGATGATACAGAAGAACAATGGCAAAGGTGCTGACTTTTGCTGACTTTCTGCAGAAACAAGAATCTGGGGTGAAAAATATTGAATCTTGAAGGTGGGGTTGGAGTGAAACTCCATGGGAAGTGAGAGAAGAATTCCATGGAGATTGTGAAGGTGTTTAAATGGTGTAAAACAACCATTGTTTTGGCTTTGATTTTACTCAATTCAGAAGCTTCTCTTTCTTTTCATGTCTTTAATGGCTTGATTGCTATTTGTTGAATGTCTTTCTCTTGTTTGTGCTTTACACATGTTATAATTATTTTTGCACTGTATTTATTCATGGGTTTGTAGAAAAGGTTTTTTGTTTATATAAATCACACGTATACTTACTATTGAGAATGATTTTTTTTATAAAAGTACATGAATCTTTTTATTAATATACGAGTTTGCTCTTTCTGTATTTGATTTATAAGTTAATAAAAAAATCAAGCTTCAAAGAGATGGTATACATTTTAGATGTATTTTTGCTGATAAAAATTTGTAATTTATATACCAGATTTCTACATTTTGTTAATGAAACAAGTATATCAGATGCTTGAAACTCGAAACAAACGTTATTTTTATTTATAATGTAAAAAATTTAATGCATATATTCTATAAAGTGTCTTTCAAATGTAAATCATTACGACCACTTACATACACACTTCACTAAAATCTTTTACAAACACCCCCCTTAAAATTAGTGACATTACCTTTTTGACCCTCTTGTTTCAAATTTTGGCACCTGCCTTTGTTTGAGAAACTTCCATGTGTTAAGTAAAATATATATTATTTTTTTTACTTTCAGTTCTATTGTTTGTAATTTTTCTCCATAAGTCGAACTTAATTACTTACCTTTCATTGTTAACTTATATATTATATGCAGGAGACTGAAACTGAAGATCATTCTATGTTACTCATTTTTCTTGTATAAATCACAAAAAAACTGTTTTTCTATCATTAAATATAAGATGTCTACAGTTTATCTTTTGGTTTGTTGATATTTTACTTTCGGTACTATATCTCTTTTATCTTTACACCATTTTGAATGAGATTTGTGTTTGTTGTTGTTTTTGATTTGTATCTAATTTATAATCGGGGGTTATTCATTACTTTTAAACAAATGGAAACCAAGAGTGGAGTGTAGAAAACAAAAAGGACTAGCATGTAAGTTTTAACCATTTCACGAATGGTTAACATGAAAGACACGTGTTAGGCTAGTTTTTGTTTGCTACTTATATGGCCTCACTTAAATAAAAATCTTATCCTACTTTATCCCAAATATCATCTATCAAATATTAATAGATGAGGTGGTATATGCTATATAACTTGTTATAAAATATTTTAGGATGAAATCTATGTAAGAGCGAATTTTATAGAGTTTAATTTTAAGGTAGTCCATCGTTAAAAATAAAAAAAAAAAAATAAATAAATAAAAAAAAAAAAAAAACGATAAATTAAAATGTTAGTTCAAATTTAAACTTCGACTAAAAATCACATGGTTTAAAATATTACTTTTATAATCTATTAGGCATTTTTGGTTTGAACTGAATGTTTTTCGTTTTAGTTAGGTTTAATCTAATTAACCTTTTTATTTATATCCTCTTTTTTCATTGTAATTATATTTTTCTTCATACAATAATAAAACCTTAACCATATTTTATCTTTATTATTCATTAGTTTATATGGTATCAAAGTCGTATTCTGATTGTTTGGTATGATTTTTTGATTTGTTTTTGTATTCCTTTCTAGTTTGATTTGTTCGAATTTGTCGTTTTAAGGGTTTCAGTTATTGTTGTTATTTTGTCACTATATGATTTGATTTGTTTGATTTTCGTTAATTTCGCGTCGCGGTTTGTGAATCTAGCGACGATTTCTGAAGAGAACGATTGTTTGTTTGTCTTGGTTATTGTTTGAAGTTTAGATTGTTCGGTTATTGCCAATATTTGTCGATTTTGAGGGTTTTGTTGTTTTTTTTTGTCTGTTGGTGTTCGTTATTGTTTTTGAGGGTTTGATCGGTACCCAAAGTTGCTTTTAATGAATGTGTTTACTACACACAAAAGAACCATTAAAAGTCTCAGTACCCATTGTTATTGAACAAGGCAAAACAGCAACAAGACAGACCATCTGGATTGTTTCATCCATCATTTCAGTCACATAACCATCGTCCAACACATTATAATAATGTTGCACCTATAGTAGAAACTAATGTTCATGCTACCACCACGTCATCTTCTACGTTAGATCACAAGTTCTTGAGCAGTTCAGACAGTTTCTTACTTACAATTATGCAACCATGTATGCATCTACATCTCTCGGTGCACCTCATCATATGCCACCTTATTTTCATCATTTGTTTCTTTGTCTCATGGATCACCTGTTTCGTTCATGTCTGCTAGTGATACACCTATGCATGTAAAGGGTGTTGATAATGTTGTCATCCTCGTATATCACTCCTAATGTATATTATATTCCCACGCTTGCTTTAAATCTTGATTTAGTTAGTCAGATGTGTAAATCTTGTTATTGGGTTTTTTTATTCTCTTTGTTGTGTGCTTGATTCACGCTCCTAGAGGGTGATTGGGACCGACCGTAAGATAGGAGAACTATATGTATTGGATCGGTTCAAAGTGTCTGATGTCGCGTTGATTTGCATTCTTTTTGTTTGAGTGATTCATCTCTTATTTTTTTATATTTAGTATTCTCACATGGGACATGTGTCACTGTTATGTTTACAGTTTCTAGTCTCTACCAGTGTTTTGGATCATTTGAATAGTTGTGATATTTCTAATTGTAGTGGTTGTAAACTTGATACATTTTCTGCTTTGCCATTTGCTAAAAGTGGTTCTTGCTCTTTTGCACTTTTTGATCTTGTGCATTCTTATGTATGAGGCCTATCTCTGGTGTGTTCAAATGGAGGATCCACCTACTATGTTTTGCTTATAGATGATTATACTCGTTATATTTGGGTTTATCTCATGAAACACATGTATGATTTCTTTATAATCTACAAGAATTTTAAAGCACTTGTCAAGACACAACATTCAGTTGTTATAAAATGTTTTCGGTGTGAGTTGGGGGTGAGTATACCTCTAAAAATATTTCAGTGTGACTTTGGGGGTGAGTATACCTCTAATGATTTCACATAACTACTTGCATCTGATGGCACCATACATCCGCCGTCATGTACTGATGCTTCTCAACAAAACGATGTTGCAAAGAGAAAACATAGACATATTGTTAAAATTTTCCCCTCTTTGTTACAATCATTTGAGGTTCCTAGTGTTTTAAAGGAGAAGCTCTCCTAACTAATGTCTACATAATCAATCGAATCCCTACTTCACATAACTTTGGTATGTATCCATTCAAGAAGGTATATGGTCACTTACCTGATTATTCCTCGTTACAAGTTTTTGGGTGCACTTGTTTTATTCTCCGCCTGCATGTTAATCATAATAAGTTGTATCCATGATCAACCTTACGTGTTTTTCTGGGATATGGTATTGGTCAGAAAGGATATTGGTGTTTTGATCCACTAAGTCAAAAATTGTACGTTTCTCGACATGTCACTTTTGTGGAGCATATTCTATTCTACTCGATTCCTGCTCCATCTCACGACATAACACGATTAGAGTTTCTAGTTATTGATCCTTTTGATAGTGATGATGACACTCCATCTGATGCTTCGATGATACTGTTGGATAAGCTGTCTAAGTCCATAACTATTTCTGGTATGTACTTGACCCGACCCGGCATGGTCCATTTGGGTTGCATGGCATCATGCATTTGGATAGACTTAATGAGAGAAAATAACACTTGAGGTTTATTAATATTATAAGTTCATATATATTAATAGTATTATTTAATTAGTATTGATCAAGAATTAATTTGG